TGTCTGGGCATAGGGACAGTTTTAGCCAATATGACAAAAAAGTGATTTTTAAAAACTTTCAGACTTCAGCTTTAAGGCCTGCAGTGTGAACGTAACCTTAGAAACAACTCATTTTAGCCTGACCTTTTTAGTGCTTTCACCGACAAAAAAAGATGCATCTTTGTTTTCCTACAGATAAGGACTCTCTTTTGCTTATTACTGTACAAATAATTTCTAATTAATTAATTAACTTCACTGCTGACCTAAAATGTTGTCCGTTTCACTGCAGGGGTTCGTGCACAAGAGTGAGAATACTGTATGATAATAGACTGCTGATAATGTACGTACTGATTATCAGGGGTTATTGATGGGTACTTATTTGGAAACATTTTTCTTTGCTTAGCTAACGAGGGCTGCAACGATTATCACCCCATGTTCTTCACGCATGACCGAGCGTGGGAGGAGTTCTTCTGCGTCTGCATCCAGCTGCTTAATAAAACATGGAAGGAGATGAGAGCCACAGCTGAGGACTTCAACAAGGTCTGATATTGCATAACCCTTACATTCATGTTCAGATGCTCATGTTACCACGTGGTTTTTCTTTCGTGCCATCATTCTCTTTTTTACATAAGCCTTTCAAAGCCAACCTCAAAACATAGAGGAACATAAATGGACTCAAAAAGCAGATGGAAACTTTTCCAAACAAAACAAATTTGTGGTATTCTTCCGTTTATGTTAATTGTCTGCTAATTTTGGAGGGTGGGAAAAATGACCACCTTTGGCTGGCATTTACTTCGAACGGTTGAGTGGAGGTTTGAAGAGGACCCAAATGCAGAGATGGAAGCTGAAGTGGTTTGCAGATTTATTGTTGATCCAAATGAGACAGAGGCAAATTCCAAAACAAATTCCAGAAAAAAGAAAAATCCAGGAGATGTTAGGGAAAACAAACACGAGGGGCAAAGAAATGACAACGAGGAACCAGCAAACAGTGACTGAACAGGAGGTGTATATATGGGATGCAGATACAAAGACCAGGCTAATCAGCGGACTGGGAGCAGGTGCGGACAGAGGAGTCTAGAAGGGAGCTAGGGGACAGGAGACTGAACCAAGAGGGCAACAGAGGGCAGACAAGAGATGCATCCAGAAAACGCCACAAAATGGGAATTAAATCAATAAAACTAAAAAACACAGAAAAACACGAATCAAAGTGAAACTGAAAACTCAAAAAGAAAATTCAAAAATTTAAAAAAGTGCAGAATCCTGACACCTTTGAATTGTCTATTTAGTGAATTTTGTTTTGTTATTGTAGCAAGCAAGAAACACATTTTATCAATTAAAATAGGAAAAAATACAGTTCCAATACTGAAACTTTCAAAAGGTTTTTAATCAGAAAGTAAGTTTGCTGTTTTCTCTGATTTTATTTAAATTTTTTTTCCCAATTTATTTTTCAAACTATTGTATGTTCTTTCTTTGAAATGTATTTTTTTTCTCAGAATGAATTTTGCAAATTGCATTTTCTTCTAATTTAATTTGCTGGTGCCACCTCTGGGGGCGGGGCATCTTTTGGGATTAGGAGCAAAGACTCATTTCTATTGGTCTGCATAAAGTTTAGACATACAAAACATAAACCAGTCTGAAAACTCTGATAAGCAGAAACTTGGAAAGAAAATAAAATCTGTAATGATTTTATTAATAAAATGTAAAAAGATAACATCTGTAAAAAAAAAAAAAAAAAAACAACAAAAAAAAACTTTAAAGTAAATGTGATTTTTTTTCTCAAAAGTAAAGTCTGAAAAAAACCCCAGCATATTTACACTTAACCTTTTTTTGTTTTATTTTATTTTTTTAAATAAGTGTTTTTCAAAGTTTCATATCCAGACAGTTACAGTTTTCTCGAATAATAATGTACGAAATATGTTCTTTGCTTGCAACAATAATGGAACAAAATTTACTCCATAAATATCCACCTCTGCTTTTTTGTTTGGCTGCAATTCCCAAAAGTGTTCACGCCTCATGCTTTTCATAAAGCTGTAACATAAATATTTGTATGTTAAACCAAAGCAGAGGGAAATAAATCCACAAGCAGATCAAATTCAGCTTGTCTCTGGCTGTGCTGTAAGAGTCTAAAATCCTGTACTTCTGCAGCAGCTGCAGTTGTCTAATTGCTGGAGCTCAGTATGACCAAAGGGGACCGTTCTGGACGACTTCAACCTCAGGATGGTCACCTTTGCGTAGCTGTTTCCAACCCAGGCCAACTTTGACATCTGTGCACGGCTCACGCTGAGCAATTACATGATAACACTGCTGGATCTCATGCCGGCCAGCAATGTGACCCCTATCAAACCCAATCAAGTGCTGATAAAGTGGTCTAATTCGTCTGTGAGGGATCCTCAGAGACCAGTGACCTTCACTCACAGTTTTTAATGACTGTTGACTCTGAAACTGGCCTCATAACGGTATTCATTCACGCATAAACCATCCACTTATACCTATTTTATTTTCACTGCAAAGAGAATCATTTACATTGCTGGTCTCTGTTTATAAAAGACTACAACTAAACTAGGCCGTTGCTTCTGTGGGATTCATTTTTGGGCAGTAGGTGATTAATGAATCTTTTCTTTTTGTTGCATCATCAAAATTTGGAAGCTTTAGAAAAATGTAGGCAATGTTTTGAGAACAAATATTAAATTTTGATTAAAGTACTGATTAAACACTCTTTAAGGCAGAGGTCTTCAATGTTTTCCAGGCCAAGGACCCCCAAACCGATGGCTAGATGAAAAGGGGAACCCCCTAATTATTTATATTGTATGAAATTGTGTTATATCAAACTGGTTGAATTCATGTTAATGTTTATTTAAGGACATTTCAATAAGTGGAAAAAATTGCAGGGGGGAAAATAAAAAAATTCTAATCAATAAAAACTTTCGTGACCCCCATGCAGTACCTCTGTGGACCCCCTAGGGGTCGCGGACCCCCTGTTGAAGACCTCCGCTTTAAGGCATTCCTTAAAAGATAAGGAAGAAGCAAGTTTTCATATGGCTCCTTTTGAAGATGAAGATCATAAAGTGTCTTAACAGTAAAATAAAGAATAAAGCAATAAAATCACTCTATGAAACTAATGCTTAGATAAATTATTGATTGGTGTTTCTACGTATATACTTTTAACAATATAAATTTTTTTCCTTGGGTATGAATATGCTCTGTTAACCCGTCTTCATACTGTCTCAGACACGAGAACTTGTGTCCAAACCTGGACAGAACAATGGTTCCTACAGTGGGGTGTACTCCCCCTAGGGGTGCGTAGTGTTATTGCAGGCGGGGCATGGTAGAACGAAACTGATTAAATTACTTATTTTTTTTAAATACAGATGTCTATGTTAAATTTGTTACAAAGCTAAATAAATGGTTAATAACTTTATTTTAAAAGAGGTAGTTTTTGTGTCATTTATTTTAATGAAATACAGTTTAGTGCAATTTACTTTTTTTTTTTTAAAGATTAGTAGAGAGGGGGAGTGAAAACTTTCTTTAAAATCAAAGGGGGAGCCCACCAAGAAACCACTTATTCAAAGTAAAACTTTAAAAAATCCAAAACATTAGAGGACATAGCTGGGGGGGAGGGGGGGTGTCAATTATTTAATTTATCTAAAGTTAATTGATTCCATCAAACGACTAAGGATTCATTGATTAGCATCAATTTGTTTCACCCTATCAAGAAGAACTTTCCATAACATAAAGGCAAAAACTTTTCTCACTATATATTTTAATACTTTATTTTGGCAACTGTATTAAATATTGACTGGATTAACAAAAATTATTTTTTTTCAACATTATTAAACTTATTTATAAGGTAAGACAGAACAGGAACAAAACTGGTTAATAAATAAAGATGAAATATGTGAAACACTAACAGAGATCATTTAAAGACAGGGTGTGTCTCTCTGACATACTGTTAGGCTATGTGTAACTTTTTTCTCGTGGGGTTGGGGTTTTAAAGCCCAAATGCAGAGGCCAGGAGGCAGAGGAGAGTTCTTGAAGATTTAATTGAATAACTGAGGCAAAAATCCAAAAACTAGTGATGTTATAAGATGAGCCGAGGCTTTGAGGAGTGTGTTGAGTAACGGAGGGGGCGTTTCCCCAAACTGCATGTCGAGGCGTGATTTACTGCCCAGGCGAGTTTTGGTCCCCTGTAATGGGATGGGGGTTTTGATGATAGCGGGAAGGAATCAACTCTGTTGCTGCATTCTAGGTTTTTGAGAACTGAAACCTGAGTCCATCCCCTCTGTTTAAGGTTGGTTCTTCTCTCTTAACATAAGTGGCTTCTTCACACCCTTTTTAAACTGAAATGTGAACATTATGGTCCTTAAAAGAATGTCCTTTGTCCATAAGGTTTCGATGTACCACTAAATCTTGTCCGGAGGAGGTCACTCTTCTGAGTTGGTCCATGCATTTGTGGAGAGGTTGTTTTATTTCTCCAATATAAAGATCAGAGCATTCCTCACTGCATTGAACTGCAGACACAACTCCACTCATCTTAGGTCTGGGGATTTTGTCTTTAGGATGCACCAGTCTCTGTTTAAGGGTCTTGTTTGGTTTGAAATCTACTGGGATTTTGTGTTTGCAGAAAATCCTCTAGAGTTTTTCAGAGATTCCAGCAACATATGGAATGGCCTTAATCTGGTAGTTAACTCTTTCTTGCATGTGTTCCATGTGTTTCATACAGAAACATATGGAACCACCAGTTTCAGTATGATCATGTTTTATTCAAGTTAAAGTTATTCAAATTGACTAAATTAGTTTAACAGAATCCAACATATAAAAAAACTAGAGTTCAATAAGTTGGCATTTGAACAAGTCTTAGGTTTTTATTGCATTAGCCCTCATCTTTAATTATGTGTGCTTGTGTGTTAACCTTCCACAGGTGATGCAGGTGGTCCGGGAACAGATCACCAGGGCTCTAGCGATGAAGCCGTCCTCTATAGACCAGCTGAAGAACAAGCTGCGATGCCTCAACTATTCAGAGATACTGCGTCTGCGGCAGTCAGAGAGAATGAGCCAGGATGACTTCCAGTCTCCTCCCATCATGTGCGTCACAACTTTTATCTCGTTATATATTGGTGTTTGAAATTTTGCCAAATTCTTTATCTAATAGTTTGACTTAGGGCTGGGCGATATGACCTCAAGTCAATATCACAATAAATTGGGCAGTTTTACCTCGACAATGATAAATGCACGATCAGAAATAAAGGGATGTGCAGGAAATGCACCTCTCTTGTAAACATTTCTGTGCAAAGTTAACAGAGGCATTTGCACATCTTTGAACACAACAGCGTGGTTGGGCTGTAGGTGGTGGAGGTTAGATTCGTTACTTTGGGTAGTCCCAACAGCTTTCAACTTTGCATATCGTGTTCTTTTGCTTAACATCTACGGCATAATTTTGGTGCCTCTAATCTGAGCATGCAGCGAGAACAATGTGCATCGTTTAAACACGCACACCCCCGCTCAAAACCGGTCTGCCGAGCACTCAACTCTGACAATGCGCTCTTTACTTCTCTGCGCGCTCAGCGTCATCTCTGCTCTCGCTCGGCTCTTCAGGATTAATTAATGTAATTTTGTTTACAGCTGTGTTAGACACTTCTTCACTGGGCTCATCCGCCTTTCTATTTGTTTACGCTTCTGACTGTATCAGTGGAGGGAGGTGATTCCCCGTATCTTGCAGTGTGTTAAAAAGAAAAGAAAATACCA